CAACATATTTTTTTACAGTGCCCCACTATTGGGAAAGAACAATACAATATAAACAGACTGAAACAAAAGAAAGAAGGCCCTGCCCAGGGGCTTACAATCTAAAAGTAAAATGGGGAGATGAGACAAGAGCTAGCAGAGGAATTTGTAGGTGATGGCAGAGATAATTTATAGTGTGATTGCAATAACTGATAACATGCAAAGGGAATTAGGAGGTGATTGACTGTGGTTCCAAACAGCTGGAGGAACATGCTATATAGTTAGAAGGAACCAGGGTACTAAATTTGTACTTTTTATTTTGTAAGATAAATAATGTTTTTATTTTTTTATTTTTGTTACATTAGACATTGGTATCCAATGTTCTTAACTAATTTTTCTCTGAAAAGTATAAGCATGCATATGGACTCAGTACTTGGTTTGGGCCCCTTTTGCAGAAATTACTGCCTCAATGCGGCGTGGCATGGAAGCTATCAGCCTGTGGCACTGCTGAGGTGTTATGGAAGACCAGGATGCTTTAATAGTGCCCTTCAGCTCTTCTGCATTGTTCGGTCTCATGTCTCTCATCTTTCTCTTGGCAATGCCCCATAGATTCTCTATGGGGTTCAGGTCAGGTGAGTTTGCTTGCCAATCAAGCACAGTAATCCCACGTTCATTGAACCAGGCTTTGGTGCTTTTGGCAGTGTGGGCAGGTGCCAAGTGTTCTGTCCTCCAGATGTTATTCAGTATATTTGTGTTTTGTTGTTTAGAATAACATGTTTGGTTCCTTTACTTACACCAGCTAGTTATGTAGAGCTCAGGCACCATCTACTGTTCCTTTTTGGTATAGCTCTAGTTCTGCATATATTGTAACTCAGGAGGTTTAAATAAAGTTGTTAGAAAGTACAGTATTATGGGCAGACCTTCTACAGGAAGTGTATCAGCCTCCATTTTGGGAAGATACAGTAAGCAGCAAGTCATGTTCTTCTCATCCCTAGCCATCACCGTTAGAGAGCTTAAAAAATGAGTTCTTGTTATCCTATCCTGTATTATTGATCCTTGTTTCTTTGTTGTATGCAGTACTGTACTGATTGATGTTTATTTCTACTATTTTGTAGTTTCACCTGGCTTGTTCTTATAAATTTGAGATCAAAGAAATATGGTATCTGAAGTTTATGGAGCAGGAAGGTTTAGCTCTCTGTCCTAGAGACATAACACCAAGTCCTACTGGAATATGAAGTCAGCATCCCCAAAAAGCTTGTCTGCAGAAGGAAGCATGAAGTGCTCTAAAATCTCCTGGTAGACGGCTGCGTTGACCCTGGACTTAATGAAGCACAGTGAACACCAGCAGATGACATGGCTCTCCAAATCAACACAGACTGTGGAAACTTCACACTGGACTTCAAGCGTCTTGCAGTGTGTGCCTCTCCATTCTTCCTCCAGACTCTGGGTCCTTGGTTTCCAAATGAAATGCAAAAGTTGCTCTCATCAGAAAAGAGAACTTTGGACTACTGAGCAACAGATCAGGTCTGTTTTTCTTTAGCCCAGGTAAGACGCTTCTGACGTTGTTTGTTATTCAGGAGCGGCTTGACAAGAGGAATACGACATCTGAAGCCCATGTCCAGGTTCCGTCTGTGTGTGGTGGCTCTTGATGCACTGACTCCAGCCTCAGTCCACTCCTTGTGAAAGTCCCCAACAATTTTCCTGACAATCCTCTCCAGGCTGCGGTCATCCCTGCTGCTTGTGCACCTTTTTCTTCCACACTTTTCCCTTCCACATAACTTTCTATTACTGTGCTTTGATACAGCACTTTGGGAACATCCAACTTCCTTCGCAATTACCTTTTGAGGCTTTCCCTCCTCTTGGAGGGTGTCAATGATGGTTTTCTGCACAACTGTCAGGTCAGCAGTCTTCCCCATGATTGTGATTCCTACTGAACCAGACTGAGAGACCATTTAAAGGCTCAGAAACCCTTTGCAGGTGTTATGGCTTACTTAGCTGATTAGAGTGGGACAATGTGGGCCTAGAATATTGCACCTTTTCACAATATTTTAATTTACTGAAATTGTGGATTTGGGGTTTTCATGAGCTATAAGCCATAATCATCGCACTTATGACAAATCACGGCTTGAACTATCTTGCTTTGCATGTAATGCGTCTATATCATATATTAGTTTCCACTTTTACGTTGCGTTACTGAAATAAATGAACTTTTGCACAATATTCTAATTTTTTGAGTATCACCTGTACTTCCGTAAATTAATGGCGTGTATACTTTTTTTTAACCAGTTCCAGAACTTCTTTCCAATTTTCTAATGAATTATAGATTTACATATCCCTTTCTCATTTCTTTATTCTAAGATAGAGAAAGATATCTCTATTTAATATATTATATTTAGATTGTATAACGTCAAACAGCAGTATTTTTCCCTCTATCGTAATATCGGCTAAGGTATTAATACCCACATGATCCCATCAAGATACATCTAAATCCTGTGTATATATATTTAAGAATTTTGAGGAGTGTAGCCTGACTGAGATAGTCTTTAGATCCTAATCTGGCACTCACCTTTGCCCTGATCTTAACTGCGTCTTTAAGCAATGGATTTTTTTAATTTAAATGTTTAATCATAGACTGCTTAATCCAAAAAATATATACTGGATTTGAAAATCCATGCTGAGAATTTACACAATGGAACCATCCAGTTTTTTAATTTTGCCCCAGGCCTTCACATGTGTGAACATGGTTACATTGTGTAATAGATTCAGATCGGGGAAGCCCAATCCTATTTATATACTATCCCTTTTGATTATGTTCTGCGCAATTCTGGGTTTCTTGCTTCCCCAAATAAAGGAAAGGAATAGTGATAAAATTTTCGGTTCGCAAACGGCGAACCGGGCGAACTGCCATAGACTTCAATAGGCAGGCAAATTTTAAAACCCACAGGGACTCTTTCTGGCCACAATAGTGATGGAAAAGGGGACTAACACCTGTACTGTGGCATGCCGGAGGGGGATCCATGGCAAAACTCCCATGGAAAATTACATAGTTGATGCAGAGTCTGGTTTTAATCCATAAAGGGCATAAATCACCTAACATTCCCAAATTGTTTGGAATAACGTGCTTTAAAACATCAGGTATGATATTGTATCGATCAGGTAGTGTAAGGGTTACGCCCGCTTCACAGTGACAGACCAAATTCCCTGTTTAACGCACCGCAAACAACCGCAAACAGTCCATTTGCACAACCGCAAACTCCCCATTTGCACAAGGTTGGATACCAAGCTAGCCATGTCCCGTTCCTTGACCTCAATGATGTCATTGAAGGTCTCTTCCTCCACCCAGCCACGTACAACACCAAGGGTCCCCGAAAGGTGAGAACAAGCCCCCTGGGACGCCTGCTGTATTTGGTCTTCCACCTCCTCAAAGCCACCTTCCTCCTCTGACTATTATAAGGTGTGTTAAGTAGTATTATTCCTATCAGTTTAATCCCTGTTACGTCCCTTATCAAGGGACGTGTATATGGCATCGATTTTAGGAACCGGGAGATGGAAAAAGATGCTTGGTCGGTCCTCCTTCAAATTTGGGGCACTGCGCGTGCAATCTAATGTGCAGTGGCGTACATACCAGGGTCGCAGGGGTCGCGGCTGCGACCGGGCCCGGCCTACCAGGGGGCCCGGCCGCCCCTGCGACCCGGTATGTAGCCACAGGGCCAGCCTCTTCCCCTGGGGGGTCCAGGAGGCGGCCACCCCAGGGCCCCCCGAGGCTGGCCCTGCTGTCACCTGGAAGGCGGGCGGCCGGTCGGGCAGGCGGGCGTGCGAGGGAGCACTCAGTGCTTCCTCTTCAGCTCCCTCGCGCACCGCACTGATACCGGAGCCGGAAGATGACGTCATCTTCCGGCGCCGGCATCCCTACGCGGCGCGCGAGGGAGTTGAAGAGGAAGCAGTGAGTGCTCCCTCGCGCGCCCCCCTGCCCGACCGGCCGCCCGCCGGGGTCAGCAGCACCACTGGACACCAGGGAATCCCCCCAGCACTCCAAAAGGTAAGGAGGCTGGGGGGATTAAATAAAAAAAAAAAAAAACATGTGTTAGTGTTAGTGTTTGAGTGTGTGTGAGTGTTAGAATGAGTGTTAGTGTGAGTGTTAGTGTGTGTGTGTCTGCTTGTGAGTGTGAGTGTTAGTGTGAGTGTTAGTGTGTGTGTGTGTCTGGTAGTGTTAGTGTGAGTGTTAGAGTGAGAGTGTGTGTGTCTGCTAGTTAGTGTGAGTGTGTGTGTCTGCTAGTTAGTGTGAGTGTGTGTGTCTGCTAGTGAGTGTCAGTGAGTGTGTTACTGTGTGTGTGTGTTAGTGAGTCTGATGTCTGTTAGTGAGTGTCTGTTTGTCAATGAGAGTGTATGTTTTGTAAGTGAGTGTGTATGTATGTCTGTCGCTGACTGTGTCTCTGTCAGTAAATGTCTGTTAGCTAGTGTGTATGCGTCTGTAAGTGTGTGTGTGTGTGTGTCTTCAGCACTTACCTTTCTCCAGCGCCGGACTCCCTTGGCGCTGAGGATACCTCAGCCTCTCTGCTCCGAATGCGACCGCGCACGCATTCAAACCGCCCATAGGAAAGCATTACTCAATGCTTTCCTATGGACGTTCAGTGTGCTCCTCTAGCGGCCGTCAGTGAGACAGCCACTAGAGGCTGGATTAACCCTCAGTGAAACATAGCAGTTTCTCTGAAACTGCTATGTTTTCAGCCGCAGGGTTAAAAACTAGAGGGACCTGACACCCAGACAACTTCATTGAGCTGATGTGATCTGGGTGTCTGTAGTGGTCCTTTAAAGGACCACTATAGTGCCAGGAAAACATACTCGTTTTCCTGGCACTATAGTGCCCTGAGGGTGCCCCCACCCTCAGGGACCCCTTCCCGCCCAGCTCTGGAAAGGGGAAAAGGGGTAAAACTTACCTTTTTCCAGCACTGGGTGGAGAGCTCTCCTCCTCCGATCCTCCTCTTCTCCTCCCCGTCGGCTGTATGCGCACGCGCGGCAAGAGCTGCGCACGCATTCAGCCGGTCACATAGGAAAGCATTCATAATGCTTTCCTATGGACGCTGGCTTGCTCTCACTGTGAGAAGCACGCAAGCGCCTCTAGCGGCTGTCAATGAGACAGCCGCTAGAGGAAATAGGGGAAGGCTTAACCCATTCAGAAACATAGCAGTTTCTCTGAAACTGCTATGTTTATGAAAAAATGGGTTAACCCCAGCTGGACCTGGCACCCAGACCACTTCATTAAGCTGAAGTGGTCTGGGTGCCTAGAGTGGTCCTTTAAGTGTGTGCGCATCTGCTTGCACTGGCGTACATACCACGGTCGCAGGGGTCGCAGCCTTGTAACCTCTGCGACCAGGTGCCCACCGTCATTTGTTGCGGCCCGGCCCGCTGGGGGGGGGGAGGCCACGGATCAATTTTCGCACCGGGGCCCCATGGGTCATGTGTACGCCACTGCTAATGTGCCACCACATAGGAGTGGTGTGTTAAGTAGTACTATTCTTATCAGTTTAATCCCAATGTCACGACTACTAGTGTGGTCCAGCACGCAGAAACTATGTAAACATATACATAGGCAAGAAAAGGAAAATAAAAGGACAGAGCGTAAACCGGACTTTAGAATGGCCGGACTAATACGCTAAAGACAGGGAATGGTCAAAGGGAAAGCCGAGGTCAAGGAAGCCAGAAAATACACAATACCATTTATACAAGCCAAGTCAGGGAAACCAGAATTCAGAATAACCAGGGAAAAGCCAAGATTAGGATACCAGGAAATCAGATTCACAATGATAAAGCACTCTCAGGAAACCAGGAACAGGAAACCACGACAGGGCAAGGTACTGGGGTGAGCTAGGGATTTAAATATCATGCGGCGGGCCGGCAGTCGCGACAACCTGTTACGTCCCCCTCATCAGGCCTTTTTTAGTCAAATGTATCAACCACTGTCAGTCCCTTCGGGATCCATCCCTCATTCATCTTAATAAAGGTGAGGTAATCTAGACTTTTTTGACCTAGGCGACTTCTCTTCTCAGTGACAATACCTCCTCCTGCACTGAAGGTCCTTTCTGACAGGACACTTAAAGCGGGGCAGGCCAGAAGTTCTATCGCAAATTGGGATAGCTCAGGCCACAGGTCAAGCCTGCACACCCAGTAGTCAAGGGGTTCATCGCTCCTCAGAGTGTCAATATCTGCAATTAAGGCGAGGTAGTCTGCTACCTGTCGGTCGAGTCGTTCTCTGAGGGTGGACCACGAAGGGCTGTGGCGATGCGTAGGACTTAAAAAGCTCTGCATGACCTCCATCAACAACACGTCTGTAAAGCGTCCTGTCCTTGCCGGCGTTGTCGTGGGAGGAGGAGGATTACTTTCACCTCTTCCCCTGTTAGATTCCCGTTGTGCTGTGACATCACCCTTATACGCTGTGTAACGCATACTTTTTAATTGATTTTGGAACTGCTGCATCCTTTCCGACTTGCCGTAATTTGGTAACATTTCAGGAACTTTCTGCTTATACCGGGGGTCTAGTAGTGTGGACACCCAGTACAGGTCGTTCTCCTTCAGCCTTTTTATACGAGGGTCCCTCAACAGGCACGACAGCATGAAAGACCCCATTTGCACAAGGTTGGATGCCGAGCTACTCATGTCCTGTTCCTCGTCCTCCGTGATCTCACTGAAGGTATGTTCTTCCCCCCAGCCACTTACAACACCACGGGTACAAGATAGGTGACAACGAGCACCCTGATATGCCTGTTATGGTTGGTCTTCCTCCTCCTCCTCAAAGCCACATTCCTCCTCTGACTCCTCTTCCTCACAATCCTCTTCCAGCGTTGCCGCAGGTCCAGCAAGCGATGCTGATAAGGCTGTTTCTGGTGGTGATGGTGACCACAACTCTTCCTCTTCACGCTCATCTACGGCCTGATCCAGCACTCTTCGCAGGGCACGCTCCAGGAAGAAAACAAATGGTATAATGTCGCTGATGGTGCCTTCGGTGCGACTGACTAAGTTTGTCACCTCCTCAAAAGGACGCATGAGCCTACAGGCATTGCGCAAGAGCGTCCAGTAACGTGGCAAAAAAATTCCCAGCTCCGCAGAGGCTGTCCTAGCACTACTCGTTAACGGCTTTTTCTTGTTGGAGCAGGCGGTCGAACATTAGGAGTGTTGAATTCCAACGT